ATGTCCACTTGATGTCTGTTTGGACCCTCACCCAAAATTCAGCCCACGGCCTCCTTAACATTACACATCAGGGCAAAAGAAAAATCTGAGAAGTCTCCTCTACAAATATTAATGGAAAACTTTAGCCTTCTTACTGAGCAGGTAACCTTGACTTGTCCCATCTGCCAGAAACACAATTCTGATAAAAATACAAAGTGAGGCAACGATGAGAGCTAATGCTTTTAGATAAAACAGTGAGCTTTGTATTTTTGTGTTTATGCCTGACTCATGGATGAAAATTTAGAATGAAAGCCATAAGATCACTGTTTGTGTCTGTTTGTATCTGTATGAATATATGTACGTTATGTATGTGTAATATTTCCCTATGTCCAGATGGTATTACCGCATTAATTTACAAAATCCCTTATTCTCTATTCTAATTGACTTCGAGATAGACAGGCAGTTTTATAAATTAAATATTCCTAAAAGTCCCAGAAATTTAAAAACTAACCCAAATGTTTTAAAAATTCAACTTAACGTACCTTAGGTAATGTTTGGCCAAAAAAAAAAAAAAAAAAAAAATAATAATAATAATAATAATAATATTGTTGTTTTAATAAAAGCAATCATGACTCTGAGTTATCATAATTAAGCATAATACAAGTATACATATTCATTTTACCTGGCTATGTTCCTCCTAAACTTAGAATGGACTTACTAGTAAAATGAGCTAATGTTATACTTATTAAACATTTAAGATTACAAAAAATATTTAAATTTGAGTTTAGTCACATCGAGTCATTATGCTGACAACCTTTATTTCAAAAATAATTATATTTTTCAACACACAAAGCAGGGAAGGAAAAATAAGTTGTTTTATAAGATGTCTGGTTAAAAATAATTTCCTATTTTATGGGGTTAACTTAAAACCTTAGACTATGCTAAATTAAGTAGGAGATATTCATTAAATAGCTAGATCATATATAAGTAAAACACCAAAACAATAAAGCATAAATCTAAGTTTTTATACTTTTTCACATTATTTTTATATGGTACAGAAAAGCTAAAAAATTAGGGTTCATTAATAAATATGATCTTTCTTGACACACTGAGAAATTTTATTGTAAGGAAGTATATACCTATAAACAATTGTGGGATATATATTCCCAATCCTTGCCAGTCTGCCACAAAATGCTGTCTCATGATGGATGGTTTACAATGATCCATTTTCTTGTTTTCTCTGTAAAATAATAGTGACTGATATTTTAAAATTATAATCAGTAAATGTAAGTGAAATAAATACAGGTAGAGTATCCTTTATCCGAAATGCTTGGGAGCAAATGTATTGCAGATTTTGGATTTTTTCATATTTTGGAATATTTGCAGAATACATACTGGTTGAGCATCCCTCATCTGGAAATTTGAAATCTGAAGTGGTCCAATGAGTATTTCCTTTAAGCAGCAGGTTGGTGCTCAAAAAGTTTCAGATTTTGGAGCATTTTGGATTTCGGATTTTAGAATTCGGTAATGCTTAATCTGTAGACGCAATAATGGCAAAGGGAAACAACTTTGTATGCAATGTATGCAAAACATGATGTTGTTAAGGAAAAAGAAAGTAATTTTATCCTCAGGTAAAATGAGTGGTTGTTCAAACATGAGATGAATGGACACAGCAAGTCGCCAAAGGTTACTTACAAAGGAATTTTATTAGTCCTGGTCAAGGCTGGGTAAAATGTGACCGGTTTGTTTATAAGATTACTTTAAAAAAACAGCTTGAGTATTAAAATTTGGTTTTCTCTCTGTTAAAAATGACAAAATTGTCATGGATTACTGGTCTGCTCTTAATAATAGGTTGTAAAAGATGTTCATTTACCTACTGAGTAGCAAGGACAGGGCGGAGACCAAGAGACTCAGGGACCCGAACTACCCCAAGCGCGCCCATCCCGCCCGCTCTCCTGTCCTGGCAGGTGTCTGTCGGGTCCGCTCTAGCAGTCGTGTCCCTCTCTTCGGTCCAGCCTAAACGCCCCAGCAGGTGACGTCGCCGCACGCCGTGCCCGCCCCACTCCCACGGCCACACCGGTCTGCGCCCTTT